GTTGGGGTCCTCTTCGTCCTCCTCCTCTTGGCCACTCTCCTCTACGTTGTCCGGAGGTAAGGAGACCAAAAAAACTCAAAAGAACACCCCCCAAAAAAAAACCCAACCCCCAAAAGAGCATTTTTCCACCACCAAAGTTGGCTGAGGGGTGATTTTGGGGATCAAAACGCTGATTTCCTGCAGGAGGAGGAGGTCACGGCCACGCCAGTCCGAAGAGGACGTCTACTTCTCCAAGTCAGGTAAGCAATGGGGTGATGGGGTCAATGGGGATGGGTGGGAGGTGACAAGGGTGCTGACACCCCCCCCCGGCACCCCACAGACCAGCTGAAGCCCCTCAAGACCTATGTTGACCCCCACACCTATGAAGACCCCAACCAAGCCATGCTGAAGTTCACCACCGAGATTCATCCGTCCTCCATCACCCGCCAGAAGGTCATCGGCGCCGGTAGGTCCTCGGGTGGCTTTGTCACCTCAAAGACACCCCTAAATTGGGCCGTTGGTGGGGGATGGTTTAACGTTCCCCTTTTCCTCTGAGCAGGTGAATTTGGGGAGGTCTACAAGGGCACCCTGAAGCGTGGGAAGAAGGAGGTGCCCGTGGCCATCAAGACCTTGAAGGTGGGCTACACGGAGAAACAACGGGTGGACTTCTTGAGTGAAGCTGCCATCATGGGCCAGTTTTGCCACCACAACATCATCCGCCTGGAAGGGGTCGTCTCCAAATGTGAGTGTTGTGTGTGACAAAAAAAAACTCCAAAAAAAAAGGCCAATTTCCCTGCAGAACACCCCAAAAAAATCCTGTATAAAAATCGTGTGTTTCGAGCAACGATGGTGGGTTGGGTTTTTTCTTTTATTTTAGGAGTTTTTAGGAGGTGTCTGAGATTTTGGGGAGGGTTGTGGTGGGGTTGTGTGGGGTTTTTTGAAGGTTTGGAGCATTTTGGTGTTTTTTTTGAGGGGGTTGGTCTTTTTTTGGGGGAGAGTGGGGCTTTTTTGAGGGATGGATTTTTTTGAAGGGTTGCTGACGTTGGGAAGGTTTTGGGGGTTTGGGGTTTTTAGGGGGAGTGAGTGGGCTCTAGTTGGTGGGTTTGGGAGGGGTTGCGGAGGGTTTTGTGAAGAATTTTGGGATTTTTAGGGGTTTTTTTCCACTCATTTGGGGTCTTTTTTTGCTGCACAGACAAGCCCTTCATGATCATCACGGAGTACATGGAGAACGGGGCGCTGGATAAATTCCTGCGGGTAGGTGAAGCGTGGGGACCATCCCCCCAGCTCCAGGCCAGGACTCTCGGGTGGTGGAACCACCAAACCCCACCACGGGATGAGAACCTGGATTCGAGGCCGGATTCTCCCCTTTCCCCCAGGAAAAAGAGGGGGAGTTTGGCGTCATCCAGCTGGTGGGGATGCTGAGGGGCATCGCCGCCGGCATGAAGTACTTGGCCAACATGAACTACGTCCACCGGGACCTGGCCGCCCGCAACATCTTGGTGAACAGCAACCTGGTGTGCAAGGTGTCTGATTTTGGGCTCTCAAGGGTGTTGGAAGATGACCCCGAAGCCACCTACACCACCAGCGTAAGTGCCACCACCGGGCGCTTGGCCACGGCGGGGTTGTATCTTTTGAGGGGTACAGCGTTGACCCCCAATATCAGGGTACAGCCTTGACCCCCAATTTCCCTCCAGGGAGGGAAGATCCCCATCCGTTGGACAGCCCCCGAGGCCATCTCCTACCGCAAGTTCACCTCGGCCAGCGACGTCTGGAGCTACGGCATCGTCATGTGGGAGCTCGGGGGGCGGGCCTTCCGGGGACCTCTCCAACCACGAGGTCAGCCACCACCCTTCCACCACCACCACCACCCTGCTTTTGGGGGTGTCTTCTTGGGGTTCCTTTTAGAAGGAACGCCACCCAACCTCCTCCTCCTCCTCCTGTGGGTAGGTGATGAAGGCCATCAACGAGGGCTTCCGCCTGCCCGCCCCCCTGGACTGCCCCTCTGCCATCTACCAGCTGATGATGCAGTGCTGGCAGCAGGACCGTGCCCGGCGCCCCAGGTTTGCTGATGTGGTCAGCATCCTGGACAAGCTCATCCGAGCCCCCGAGTCCCTCAGGGCCTTGGCAGACTTCGACCCTCGGTGAGAGAGATGGGTGGGGTGGGGAAGATGGGTGAGGGCTCCTCTGCTCAGGGGCTCCTCTGCTTGCGGGCACCTTGGGGGTTTCACGGGGCTTTGGGCATCTTGGGCATCTCACTTTTGGTAGGTTTGGGTTCTCCCGTTGCTTCTCACACCTCTGCACCCTTGTGTTCTTGGAATTGTTCTGCTGGGAAGAGACCTTTCAGATCAT